TCTAATTATTTATTTAATTGAACCAAAGCTTGATGTTGTGAAATTTTTTGTAATACAAACAATCTTATTTTGTTTCGTTTCGTTTTAAGAAAATTAAAATTCTCGTAGGCAATTTGATAGTAACAGATGTCCTCTAGATTTCGACCACTTTGTTCTAAAATTATATTTTTAATTATTTATTTAATTAAACCGACCTGTTGTGGGGAATTAGGTAGAATTCAAAAGCAGCAAGATAATTTGGTAGTCCCGAAAAGGAAAGTTAAGGTTTCAGCCACCCTGTTCTAAAAGTACATATTTAATTAAACCGAAGCCTATTTTTGTGAATTACATACAAAGTAATAGTATAAGCTATCATAACATAAACAATCCTCTTTTAGTCCCATACGTAGAAAATTAAAATTTTCATAGGCAATTAGATACTTCTGGCAAGGATGCTTTCAAGATTTCAGCCACCTTGTTCAGAAAATATGTTTTAAATATTTTATTTAATTAAACTGAAGCTGAGTGTTGTGAATCAGACAAAATATAAAACCATAAAAATATCTAGTTTTAGTTCCGTATCTTACTAGAAAAATTAAAATTTTCATATACATTTTGAGAGCCATAAGGTTGCTCTGATAATTTCAGCCACCTTGTTCCAAAATTATATTTTAAATTTTTTATTTAATTAAACTGAAGCTGGCTGTTGTGAATCAGACAAAATATAATACCATAAAAATATCTAGTTTTAGTCCCGTATCTTACTAGAAAATTAAAATTTTCATATACAATTTGAGAGTCACTCTGATAATTTCAGTCAACTTGTTATAAAAGTAAATTTTAAAATACATCGATATCTGTTATTGTGAATTAGACGTAAAAATGTAATGGGGTAAGTTATCATAATATAACTTGTGTGCCTTTTGTGCCAACTCATATTTGGAAAATGAAAATTTTCATGGATAATTTAAGAGTCACAGGAAGGACGGATGTTGTTGATTTTAGCCATCGTCTTCCAAACTTAAGTTTTAAATTGATTGTTTAAATTACCCGAAACGATAAGGAAATGTAGTGACTTAAATTAAATTGTAAAACATAAGTTTTCATAAGATAATTTGTATCATTTTATTAGTTTATTATTTATTTCATTAGTTTATATTATTTTAGGTTCATTTTTGCTTAATGGCCATTTCTTGACGTTCTTCGAAAAAAAGTTTAACAACTTTAGGTTAAACGTTGTTGCCATGGGACTAAATTAAAAAAAATTAATAAATCTTCTCTATAATACTATTTCAAATTCTATTTGATAAAACCCCGCCGGGAGTTCAAAGTGACTCAATTACTCGAACACGGTTAAAATTTATCACTGACAAAGAGCGTGGAAAAGGAAAGCGTTTTGTCTTAATTTTTAATGCATACTAATACAATTTTTATTATTTATGCAGATGTTATTCAGAGTGGGGAAGCGGAAAAAAGGCAGCCCTTTTGGGCTCCGTGGGGCACATGCCAGCCACCGGACCTCTGTACTATGTAAATCAGCTATGGAGCCGCCCTGAGCAATATGTACCCAGGATCCTGTTATTGCAACTACCTAGGGGATTGTCTTCCATCCTTTAGCCTGCCGTTTTTCTTTTCCTCTCCGAGGCTGCCCTTATACATTTCAACAGTTAATTTCTTGTTTTTTGGACAAATTTCCCTTTCCCCCTTTTTTACAAATTGGTACGGTTCATCTGTTACATTTGAATTTTTTTTTCTCTAAAGGTCAGTTGGATAATTGTTGCGTATTTAATTCATTAAAAAATACATTGGCCACTAAAACAATTATTGTCGATATGCAGTTCAGTGACTAAAACTTTGGTCAAGATGAATATAAACTGCTCAAAAATGAACAGGGATATTTGTAATTTATTCTTATTCTATTAATTTTAATTCGATTAACTGATATATTGCTGTAGATTGTAGAATAGAATTACGAGTCCTCCCAGGAGGCCTCTGGCCTCTCCCTGACAGATCAGGGGGAGTCACCCACCTTGGTGCCTGAATGACTCCGAGGCTGGGCTCTAGTCGGCGCCGTCGATTTCATTGGCCATTTCGGCGCCCATACGTTCCCTAAAACTAGTTATTCTCACACTCCCTCATACAATAAATACAAACATACTCCTATATACAAACCCAATCACACATCCATATCCTTTGTCTAGAATCCGGGTCGGAGGGTACTCGATATTTTTAGGTTGTACAAAACAAAATAGAAAATACAAAACAAAAACAAACAAATGTTAATTCTCATGTTTGATAACGGATTTACTAAGAATAGGAAAATGAAGATTACTCTTTTTGTAAACAAACAAATTTTCTCGCCTTTTCTCCATCTTAATCTAGTTGTATTCTCTTTAACAATGGAAAGACATCATCTTGAACCAGAAGTTCGCAATATTATTGGTCACCGGCAAGGGGATATCGCAGAAGCAGCTGGCGTTTCTCAGAGCGTGGTCTCCCGAAGACTGGACATGCCAACTGGAGGCCTGGTAGTTGATCTCAGCACATTACTTCGCTAAGGGAGGACATAAATATTGTCACTGCTGCAAGACGGAACCATTTTCATAGTGGCCGCCAGATCCCAAATGAAGTACAAGATGTTTTGGCAAGGCCTTTATCTACGATTCGTAATCGTTTGTGGGAAGTTGGCCGACACGATTACACCACTTTGAGACGACCTGCAGCAACAGCCACGAGCAACTCTGGAGAATGTGGTGCAGCGAGCGCCTAGAAGAGAACATTAATTGGAATTTCAATTAATTAATCTTTATGTAACGTATTGGTTGAGATAAAAAAGTCAGTGTCACGAGCGGGATTCGAACCCACGACCTTCGGCTAAATACGCCGCTGCTCTACCACGTGAGCTATCGTGACCTCGATCCACTCGGACAATAACTTCTCATCTCAACCAACCTTTCAAATTTTCCCTCCTTTTTGCCTTAAAGATCCATACATAAAGATTGATTAATTGAAAGATGTTATTTGGTCAATCGGACCACGAAATCTAATAAATGTAATAAGTTAAATGAAGTATATCTTCACTAAAGCTCTCCGTGGCCATTTCTTTTGTCGCCGAAAATCAAATAGATTACACGACATTTGAAAAATTGGCAAAAAGGAGGGAAAATTCGAAAGGTTGGGTTGAGATGGGAAGTTAGTGTCCGAGTGGATCGAAGTCACGATAGCTCAAGGGGTAGAGCAGCGGCGTATTTACTCGAAGGTCGTGAGTTCGAATCCCGCTCGTTTTCGGAAATCGTGAGGCTGACCTCCGGAGTGACCAGACCGCACCTCATGTTTTCCGAGTCCCTTACATAAACCATTTAATTAATTGAAAGATGTTATTTGGCCAATCGGACCACGAAATCTAAGGAATTAATTGGAATGTTGTTATGTTTACTGATGAGTCGCGTTTCGGTCTGTACAGTGATAGCAGGCGCTGAAGAGTCTTTCGAAAACAAGGGATGCCTACAATGCCTCAATTCGTGCTCCCTTCAGTGCAGTTTGGTGGAGGCGGTGCAATGGCCTAGGCTGGGATTTACACTGGAGGGCGAACTGAACTCCATATTGTTGAAGGCAACCTCACCGCAGTTATGTTCAAGAAATTATTATGGTTATTACATCCCTCAAACCAGTGATCTCGTTGGCAGGGACTTTCGATTGATGTCAAACATCATAGAGGTAGAGTTTTTCGTCAATGTTTAGAAAACCTGGAAATTTCCCATCTTCCCCTTCCCCTATTATCTCCAGATCTCAATCTGTTGAGGTCATGTCGGTTGAGTTTCAGAGAAGCTTTGAATTCACTATTTGCAGCCAGTTGACCTCCAACAACTGAATGCAGTGTTGCAACATGTATGGAGGGAAATTCCTTATGAAATATGTGGCAACCTTATTAACCTTAGGTTAGGAATTACCTAACAGGTGTACAGAGGTTTTAGTTAATAGAGGACAAGAAAAAGAAGCTCAAAAATATGCCTTGAAAAAAGTAAGAAAAACCCTAAAAGATATCATTAAAATGCATTAAAAAGGATCAATTTTGCGATGATAGAAAAGAGATAAGACAAGATGCAGAGAGGTAGATTTTGAAGACGCTGTAAGAAGAGAGTCGCCAAGATAGTAGACGAAGAAAATAAGGAACGAAGTACAATAAAAAGGATCTGGTGCTGTAAAAATACTCAGTTTGATACGAGAACAAAAACGAGGCCAAAATTCATGGGACCGGAAAAATGCCTATGACGACGACGACTGTTTCACGGAAGAGGACATCATCTTGACTCAGAATTAGCCATACGCGTTTATACTTACCACTTACTTTTGGTCCAAAACCCGACTATTTGTTCGGCATGCAGAGAAAAGTTCGTCAATGTGTCTTACTTAATTAAAGGATTTCATTCCTTGGCTCAATACAGAAAGCGTGGTAGGAATGCCACCCGATTTGAGAATTGTGCTCGAATGCGGCTGCGAATCTCTGGGTTTCCTATTCCGATATTTAGGAGAAACGGGTGATTCTGTACATTGTACATCCATATATAATTTTTTTATTGCAGATAATCTTATATTTTATACCAAGTTTGGTGATAGATGTTTTAAATGTTTCGTGGGAATATATTTATATGCGTAAAAATGTGAGGGAAAGATTGTCGGTGGTGGAATTTTCAGTTCCCAATCAACCCACAGTTAGACATAGCATTGTATTTGTAGTTATTTATACCAGAAAAGGTGATGGAAAAAAGTACTCCATCACCCTAATTGAGTGAAAGGTATGTAAATAAGCCAGAACAAATTTAAGAATTATTGGGAGAGGGAGTGTTTATTTTATAACTACATCCGTCTGAACCCAGGCTCTCAAAGCACCAAACTGGATTCGATGTCACAGGCTTGATTCTGAACATATGTGTACCCAAATGCACATTAGAGCAGAATTGAGCCTAAATATCTCAAATCAATAAAACATGTGGTAAAATATAAGTTATAAAAATAGGGTGTCAAAATTCGAAAGTTTAATCTTATTCGCTTTTGGGGTGGAGGCAGCTGCCCGGTAGTTGACCGATTGAAGGAATGACTGATTTCAAGGTACAAGAACGAAAATGAGCTCAAGGTACCCACGTGGGATGAAACGGTTTTTTTCCCTGGGGAGCTTTTCGACGGTCGAGAACCATTTTTGAAGGTCTTTTGATTATGTCCAACGGTTTTATCTCGTTGGCGGCTTGTGATTTTATCATCAAGGAAGGTTTGATGATTTCGTCAGCAGAAGTGTCCATGTTCAGAAGGTCGAGGTGTGCACACGTGCGGGAAACGTTTAGGTTCAGGTCGGTCCGCGAATCGTAGGGCGTCCTCACCCTCGGTGTTACGGTGTGGAACTTCAACGACACATTGAGCTTCTTCGAGAGCACGAGCAAGCTGTCTTCGGCCTTGGGTAATCTTTCGTTGAAGTTGGGTTTAGTCCATTCTTCGAAATCAGGGCCCTGAAGCTTTTCTTTGGCGATTACGATGCTGTCCCAAGTTTCAATGAGGCTGGCGACTTCGCTCGATTCTTTTATGGCGGACTTTTCTCCGATGGACAACTCCTTGTTGAGCTCCTCTATTCTCACGAATTTCTTCGACGGTTGTTTTTCAGAAGACTTCTGTTCTATGATGGCATCCGTGTCCAAAACTTCGTTCAATTTCTGCATAACCATGCATTCGATTTCTATCATGAAATTCTCCAGGGCGTGTTGGTCGACTTCGGCCGTCTCCTGCAATTGTTTGCTGCTTGCTGCAAGTAACGAAGGAAAATGGATTTTTTCAATTGTCGGCATTGACGAAGACTTAATGAGATTCGGTTTGCTTTTCTTTTTCACAATGCAGATCAAATCCGATTTGCATTCTTTAATGTCTCTAACCGGTTCGGCTGGGGGCACGTACACAGTACCCGTGAGTTGTTCTTTTTCTACTTTAACGACTTTGTGCGTTTTCAAGGAGACTTTTTTCTTTTTGTCTACGGAGGGTGTATTTTTAAGTATCGTGTGAATATCGTCCCTGTAGAGAGTGGTGTACATAGACTCTATTCTTTGAAGCCTGTTGTAAAGGTTTATTGGATCTAAAGTTACTCCCCTCGACGCTCTGATCAGACAGGATCGTACGACTGATTTTATAGAGTCTGTAATTTCCAGAATGCGCCGACGGATTTTCTGACGGTACACTTTTCTTGAATAACTTAAACATTTACTACAATCAAGAAGGTTGTTGAGATCTAGTTTAACATTCTGCAGTTGTTCCACGATGAATTTTTCTGCTGTGCTCTGTTCCGGAGTCTTCAATTTGGTTACTGCGTAATTATTTGTAATGTGGTTTCTTTTTAAAAATTTTAACAACTCGCTTAAACCATCATTTTTGTGAACAACCAGAATCTTCAGCAGTGCCCTTAGTTTGCGTGCGTTAACAAGCCAGACAAATTCCTTCTTCCTTTTCTTTTTTATGGGCGCTGGCTCGTTTTCGGCACTATCTTTCTGGTTTTCTTCTTCTTTCACTTCGTCGATTTTAACTTTATCTTCACCTTCAATCTCGGATAAAGTAGTCAATTGAGACGTCGTGTCGGATGTGTCGATATTTATGCTTTCCCTTGTTGGAACTATGTTTACAGAATCTTTGTTCTCCTTGTTAAACTTGACCTTCTTCTGCGGAGCGTGAAGAAGATCCGTGACGATGACGGGTATGTACTTTTCGTTTTCATGTTTCCATCGCTTCTGCTCGACTTTCGGAATCTGGATAGTCAAGACCGTTTCAGGCAGCGTGAGCGTCTTCGAGAAGCGGTCTTTTATGTTAGACTTTGGTATATCCTTCTGCGGCCTCTGCTTTGAAAGCTCGACTGTCTTTCGGAACAACTCCTTTCTGTATTCCTCAAGTTTGGCGATGAACTCTTCGTCATTTTCACGGAACGCAGGGCTCTGAAACAAATATAAGAGGAGTTCTCCAATGTTACTCTTTTCATAGTTAATATTACTTAGCGTACATGGTGATAAAGCCAGTCCCTAACGAAGAGTTTCATCTCCATCTTATCATCTTTTAGGGATACCGGAAGCGGTTTTTCTTCAAGATCAAACATTTTAAATTTATTTCATTTTTGTTCAGCAAGAAAACAATTATATCATGATTTAGAAGATTTTAGCCAACAGAGAAAAACCAAGAAGAAAAACTAGTACGGCAGATGATTCTACTTTCAATCCATTTTTTCGAACATGTGATTGAAGATAAAAAAATTGGATGAAATCTTTAACATATACAATTTCTACAAGTAGTTAACAAATATACACATATGTATACACATAATCTTTGTACATTTTTCCTTTTTTTGTCTTGATTGCTAATTGCTTTTTAATTACTACATGTTACATGGGCTACATTGATCACCTTAAAAAAATTAAACAACGAACACAGAAACAAATTATTAGTAGTGTTTAAAATAATTGCTACCGTATCTACAGTTTGTGCAAATTTCAGGAATTGAGGGTGGGAAATAAGAAATGTAAAAATCATAACTCTTCAATTATATATTAATACAAATGGTCACAGTGAAATGAAATTACTGTTTATTTTTTATATCACTTACTGACAGTTTCCATTGATCCTTTTTCTCTCACATTTTGTCTATGTCTCTTACATCTTATCTTCGTTTCTTCGACACTCTTTTTCTCTATCACTTCCCTTCCCGCCGAGTGCCTCTTTTATCCATTTCCATTTCTCCCTACCACTCACATCCCACTTTTTCATTCGGTCTCTATCTAGGGAGGTAGATTGGTAGGTAGATAGAAAGATAGATAGAGATAGAGATAGCGATAGAGATAGAGATAGTTTTAGAGATAGAGATAGAGGTGTCGATAGAGATAGATATAATTATAGAAATAGAAATAGAGATAAAGATAGAGTTAGGTAGATAGATAGAGAGTGTGTGTGTGTGTGTGAGAGAGAGAGAGAGAGAGAGAGAGAGAGAGAGAGAGAGAGAATTGAGGGTTTTTCTCTCCCTTTCCCTCTCTCTCTCTCACTCTCTCTCTCTCTCTCTCTCTCTCTCTCTCTTTTTCCTCTTTCTCTCACTTACTCATTGTATCTTTGTCATTATTTCTCTTTACCCTTTACCACTGTGGCTATCAACTGTCTCTCTCTCTCATTCTCTCTCTCTCTCTCTCTCTCTCTCTCTCTCTCTCTGTCTATCTATCTATCTCTCTCTTTCTCTNCTTCGAAGACATGGCTTCACTATGCGGGTGGAACGATATCCAGAAATTTATTTTCTCGAAGAGGAAACTCTCAGGTTCGGCGGCCATGTTTGTAAAGTCAGAAAGAGGCCTTCTTTCGTGGGACCTATTAAAAGACGCTTTGGAACGAGAATTCCCTAAATCAATAAACAGCGCTGAAATCCATCTCTTATTGTCGAATTCTAAAAAGAAGCGAGATGAAACGTTTCGACAGTATTTTTATAGACTTCGCGAAATCGCGAATCGCGGAAACGTGGACGACCAAGCGTTGTTTTCGTACGTTATAAAAGGAATCAAGGACTCCGAATTTAATAAGTCAATCCTATATGGTGCTAAGACGGTGAAGGATTTCAAAGAAAAATTGTTTATTTACGAACAAATGCTAAAAAACACTGTGACGAATTTCGATAAATTGTCTAAAAATGTGACAAGTGTTGTTGTTGCTATAACGTTAAGTTACTATTAGTTACGAAACGCTTATATCAGGCGCAAGGGTAATAGTCCAGGCGATTACAGAGGTGGATATGCCACTTTGGATATAGAGGATAGGCGAAAAACGGCATATGTGCGAACCGGTGAAATATTTTATCCGCATCTCAGAAATTGTATTAGGTTAAAATTGTAAAAAGGAAATCCGTGGAGGGCGGGTTCACGGCAATAACGGTGAATTTAAATTTAAGAGGAGTGAAGGGAGAGGTGCCGGTGACTCTGGCGGATCCTGTAGAAACGTGAATAATATATTTCAATTAAGCCGCCCACCTTTTCTTTCTCGTATTGTTGCCGGCAATTACAGGGCCTTGCTGTTGTACCCTTTTAAATAATGTAAGGACAGAGGGCCGGGCGAAGGCAATCAGAGTAAAACCTTGGGGCAGTTAGCCGGAGAAGTTTCGGGAATTAATCCGCAAAGCCGTTGTTCACCCCGGCCCTCTCTCTAATATTTATAAGTAACCTAGCCCCTTGTTAACACATATGTATTAAACAAAAATCCCCTTTCAAATCTGGCCTCTTTGCGAGTCAAAAAATAAAACGTTTAGTTGCTCATTAACGAAAAGGGGAAACTTGACCGAATGTTTTCAACTGCCCATTTATCAAGAAGCAGGAATTTTTCTTTGAGCCCGTTTTCTGTACGAATAATAATGCGAAGCAAATAAAAATAAATCAAATAAAAATATAATAATTAATGAAAAAGAAGATGAAAGTCTGTTGGAAGGTATGATACTTTTTTTGGACATAGGATTTGGATGGAAATAGAGATAGCGATACAGATAGAGAGAGATGGAGAGAGAGAGAGAGAGAGCGAGAGAGAGAGAGAGAGAGAGAGAGAGAGAGAGAGAGAGAGTGAATGAATGGCATGAAAATGTATATTGGTTTGTTTGTATTTGATAGATTTGATGTAGTATTATTAGTAATAATGGATGGTGTTAGTGTTGAGTTGTGGTTGTTGATTAGCCTGTTGATTATATGTTTAGGGTAGTGATTGTTATGGAGGATATGTTTGTATGTCTTTATGTTCTTGTAATGAAAATATTCATGGTTTAGGGTAATAATTTTTAAATTTTATATTGTTTTTGCCTCAAATTTAAATTTTCATGTAAACAAAAATAAGATTATTCCATAGGGTGTGCGTGGAGTGTCGCTCTAAAAAACCAAGAGAAAATGGAGAGAGCGCGAAAGAGAGAGAGAGAGAGAGAGAGAGAGAGAGAGAGAGAGAGAGAGGAGAGAGAGAGAGAGAGAATAAACACAGCCTGAAAGGCGATGGAGAAGCTACTTAGCCATATTACTAGATACTATTTCCAACCAATTTATTATTCTCCAACTAAGCCTTGTTACAACGTACAATTGTTTTGCAAAAATATTTTCGGTCTAAATGGTTTATTAAAACTAAAGTTAATTTGTTTAAAATCTGTTTTAGGGCATATGTGAACATATTTACTTAATGCAATATTTATCTTTGTAAATACCAAATATGTAATGCAATGAAAAAAAATGTTTTCATTAACAAAATGAATTTTATGATAATAAACAGTTTTATCACTGACTACTTTTATCTTGTTTTATAAAATGTAAATGTAAAAACATTTGCCACTTTTTCAGGCTAGTTGTTTTAGAATATTTGTTGATTTATTGTTTAATTATGTCATTTTTTGTTTAGTGTAATTTGAAATGTAACAAACTGTTGATAAATTTTTGAAGTAATTACAGTTCAAAAACCCTTAATTTTTTTATGTGTGTATTGTTCATGTGAGTGGTGAACCTATATTTTAAGTTTATTAATTTTCTATCAAATAAAATTGTAAAATAAAATTAAATTAAGAGATATAGACAGATAGAGTATTTCAATTACGACCTTACATGAATCCTCGGGCTTTCGCTGCTTAAAAAATTGTATGTCGGTTTTGAATGCAGTGCGGCTGGATTCGAACCCGGGACCTTTAACTTACAGTGATGAACGCCGTGTCAACGCCTAAACCGTTACGCCTACCGACACCCTAAACGATGTAGAACAATGTTCGGAAATAGCCAGAAAACGGTTGCTTTAAATAATAAACATTTCACACCATTGACTTTAGCGTCAAAAAACCTTTTAAAAATTTACGTTATATGTATCTTATCAGTTGAAAGAGGTAGATGAATATGCAAATGTAATGTCCGGTGTGTCTATTATGCCTTTTAAGATCTATTGTATTCCCTGTTCTCTACTTATAGTCCACAGGTGAGTCTAGTTCATCAGGGAAATAGATTTGTAGGCCAGGTTTCAGTGGTTGAATTTCTTCTGCAGTTACGTCGTACATCCCAAAACACCTCCTACTGTGGGGAAATGTGCACCACAGTTTGTTAGTGTGGGTGTTAGTACTTCTCTGTTTCATAACTGCATAAACTGAACTGCTGTGTTGTGTTACACCAAACCTCTTCGGTTGCCCATTCAGGCCTGTCAGGATTCGAAGTTTTTTCGTGCTTCCTTTGATGCATTCAGTCGTTTCTTTCCTTCCAAAATATGTTAGAAGGTTCTTTGAGTGTTTACGTCCAATGGGTAAATTCTACGGTTAACTCTTTTTCATTTTGTCCTATTGTTCTCATTGATAGTGTGAATCCCTATGCCACATTTAAAAAAGTTACTCTTTTACTCGTATTTCACTATCCTGGACAGTTAAATCAAAATTTTGGTTCATCAGAAACGTTCTCGTGCCTCTGATTTTTCCCCAAAAACCCCTCAACAAAAAATAAATAAAGGGGGGGGAAAAGTTAAATTCAACTTGTATTTATCTTATCTGCTTATCTGCATGCTGAAAACAATCAAGATCCTTCATTTTTACTTATGAGTACCGAAAAGTATCACGATAATTAAATAATCTATGAGCACCTAGGGGTCTTATTTTTTAACATGTTTGTTTGTCTCTTGATGGTTGACTATGTAGTGTTAAGCTTTTTCTCTTGAAGGTTGAGCTAAAATTAATTTTCTTCTCCTTCTTCTCTTTTTAGTATTTGGCTAAGCTCAGGTCTAATATCTAATTTGTTAACTTTTTTAAGAAGAACGTGCCTTTCTTTAAGGCTTCTTCCAGTACAGACATAATTCTAAAAACGCTAAGTTTGTTTTCTATGACAAATGAAACTGACACAAAGTTTTGCAGTTAAATAACGCATTGCAATTAAAATTAGTTGGGGTAAATTGGTTTAATAATGTCGCTTTTGAAAACTTGAGTTATAAATAGCGAAAAAGTAAGACTCTCTTGAAATAGGATTTAATTATATGTTTTATTTTTATCGGATCAATTATGTATTTACTCGCTGCTGAATGCAGTCATCCTACTCCAGTTCCCGACCAAACATTCATGTTTGTGCAATAATTTAATGAAGATTAATCTATAAATATTTAGTAGTCATAATTGACCGTACTAATTATTTTAATTAATTATACGTTTATCTCAGGCCTTGGTTGAAATGAAAAAGCTAGTGTCACTTTTTCAACTCAAACAAGACCTTTGTTAAAAAATATAATCAATTAAAATAATTCGAAGATTGTT